TTATGTTTGGTTTATGATCCAGTATGATCTTGGATGACTTTCTGAAGAACCGTTCCCTAATCAGTTTTTCTCTGTTCTCTGTGGGTTCAGGTATTTGTTCCTGCTGCAACAAAGCCTCTGACCATTCCTTACTCAAAGTCTTCATGTTATGTCTCCAAGTTGGCAATATTGTTTTGAATTGAAGTCTGGTTCTCTTGATACAGTTTTAATTTGCTTAGCTTTATGCCTCTGCAAATTTATGATGTATATACCCCATTCTACTGTCTGAGTCGTTAAAGTATTAAACAGCATCAGATTCAGGACAAACCCTTGTGGAACAGAGTGCAGTGTGTCCTTCTGTTTTAGTCTATAACTTCTCCAAGTTTAGCTTTTCAAACAGTTTTCCATCCATATGGTGCTCGTTTCTCCTAACTCACTTATTCACTGGTAGCTTATGAGAATGTTCTATGAGATGGTAACAAAAGCCCCACTAAAGAGAAGCTAAATATCAATGATTGCATTTCATCCATTCGTAAGGCCTGTTACTGCATCCCAGAAGTAAATTACACTGCATATGACTTATTCTTGATACATCTTGGCTACTGGTTATCTTTCTGTTCTTTCTTAAGCACTTAAAAATTGTTTGATTATTTGCCCTTATATTTTCCTAGGCTGAGTAGTCTGTAACTTCTTTGCTTTTTTTCCTTTTCCTTAACCTTATTTTTTAAAGATAGTTGCTACATTTCATCTTTACATTGAGCTAGTACTCATTTATTCTCCCCTAGTTCTTGGCAGAGAGGGTACATCCTTTCATTTGATCCATTTCCTTTTTCATTCTAGGGCCTAGTCTCCTGGTTTTGCATGCTATATGGTTATGTGTACACCCTGGGCTTTTTTGGAGGTCAGTCAGTTCTCTTCAAGAGCACACCTTTGGCACACAGATAGGAGGGATATATACTCAAGTTTACCTTCAGCATTATCCCAGGAGTCACTGCACCTTCAGGAACACTCATGCCATGACCTAGTTTGCGTAACACACTCATACTCATTCACTCAGCATCCTGTTATTAATATATTATTGGATGCTTGTTATTAATGGTGAAAACATCAACAAATAATTATGCTGGGTTTTTTGTTAATGATGGAAGTACTAAATTGGGCCCAGGTGTTTTAGAAGCAGTAAGCTAAAGGGAATAGAACTGCAGCTTACAAGTGACCTTAGTGATGAAAGTTAATGCAAAAAAAAACCCCAACAAACCAACCCATACCCTAATAGTACAATAAAGATCTAGAACTGTTCATACTCTGCATATAACTTTATTTCTCTACTGAGTAACAAGCCAACACCACATTCTTAGGTGTTTCTTGCGGTAATACTTGCAGAGCAATCTCTTATCACTGGCATCCCTTGCCAGTTTTATCTCATACTGCACTTGACCCTTTTCTGATTGTGTCCCTACATGCTGTGTTACTTTAGACTTGTCAGTAGCAATCAGACCTAATTTGCACACTCTGTATTCTGCTTTTTGCATTTGAGCTCAGTGAAGAGCTCATGAAGTAGCTAAGCTGATCTCTTAATGTGCTGCCTATTCTTCCCTTTCATCAAGGGCAAAATTGCAAATTATCATAATATAATTTCTATATGAAAACTACTAGTTCACCTGAATTCTGTTCCTTTTTAGGTTTCCCTTTTCTATACAATTTAACCTACTCATTTTTCTATCCTATGGAACCCTGTTTATTTGATGGCCACTGTCTTCATTTTTACTCTTCACTTACCTTCTTAAAAATCATAAATAACCCGAGTTGCCTTCCAGCCCAAGTTTCTCATGAGTCTTTCTCCTATTGATTAGGATAAAATTCTAGATTTTTTTTTTCTCCCTTTTTTTATCTGCATGCGTTAGCAAGTGTGTGTCTTGGCTAATTCTGATTGCTTCTGAAAAACCTGGTTTGTTTAACCTTTCTTGATTTAGTGATGTATCAGTCCATTGCTGTGATATTGTCACTATGCTTCTGAGCATCCCTGACATCCCTGTATCCCTGACATACAGGACACAACTGGATTTTTTTTTGGTTGGTTGGTTAGTTGGTTGTGTTTTGGGGTTTTTTTTGTGGTTTTGTTTTTCCTTGTCCTGTTCTTTTTAAATGAATGATTCCTTTTACAGTAGAGCTAGAGGATGATGATTAGATGTCTTTTCAGTATAATCTGCATGTGTAGATTTACTGGGGAGTGCAATGGGAGCTTCAGTATCTTATTAGTACTAGTGGATGCCATATGTGTTTTGATGTAATGGGATTGATTGTATGGCTCCATTCTTGCCTTCCCAAGGAGTTTGGGTTTCAGGTATCCTTGCCTCTGAGTGGCTTGACCACCTCTTGTTCAAAAGTCCTGGTACCAGACACCGTGTAAGCTGTAAGCAGTTATAAAAGGAAGAGTATTCTATTTCTTGTTTACTGGATTAAGCTGTCTTTTACTACCTTTGAAGCTGTGAAACTCCTATTTAAGAATTTGATCTACCATATTTTTGTATTAACAACTATGAAAAGTAACCGAACAACTTGGTTTCCAGTGTTAAAGCTGTTACAGTTATCCTCAGTGTACCACTCTATTACTATGAGTTACAGTATTAGTAAAAAATAAAGCATGCCTGAGGCAGCTTTTTCCATATGTATTTCTAAATTTGATTTAAAACAAAATTCTGGTTCGCAGTTTGTAATCTTTATTTTACCCTGTAATGTTAAAAAGCAGCCTGCCCGGTTTTGTGGTATTTGCAGAGTTCTATGCTTTGCATGCGTGAGAACCCAGACATATAAACTGTATACTGTGTTCAGTAGTAGCCCAGCCAGAATTTATTATGTAATCTGAAATATAAGAGTGGAGATTTTTTTTTTTTTTTTTTTTTTTTTTTTTTTTTTTTTTTTTTTTTTTTTTTTTTTTTTCATCAAGAGGCCATCGTGAAGCTGCTACTTTGTCCTCATTTTCCATCTGAATCTGTGTGCCTTGACATGCTGAAGTAACTCTCTAGGCAGGGCTTGGTGAATGATGTTAAGCATTTTATCCCATACCAGATGATCTTAATGGTCCCCTTCTGTCTGGACTTGTGCAGAGATGGATACAGGAATGGATTTTTCTGGCTTTACACATGCTGAGAACTTGCTTATGTCACAGACTAATAATAAAAAGCCCCATCTATATAAGCTTATAAAGGGAATGGGGGGAGAGGCCTGTCCTAATATATTTAACAATATGAGTTATCTTACATTGCATACGTAACTATAAATATGTCATCTTAAGCAGGCTGTGGAAAGCCTCTACATCAGAGGTCTCTAAAATCAGACATTTTCAAATCTTTTGTCATTCAGAAGCTGCTTTCTCAGAGAGTACAAATTAGAGTTAGACTTTAGAAGATCACTAATTACAGCTGCAATAGGGATTTTGTCACAAACTCATGAAACCTGTCTGTCCTGACCAAAGGAGTGCAATTCAGCCAGTAAAATATAAATGAAAACACTACATATGGCTGCTTTTTCTGTAAGTTATAAAAAATAATTTTGTAACATATAGAATAGTTTTAACCAGAGAGGGGGAAAAAGCTGTGCTATTTAGATGTCAAACACATGGCAGTGTTGGAAACAAACAAGTAAAATATAGAATATTACTTCTAATTAATTTGCTTTATTGTTTGCTGGCTGATCTGTTCCTTGTACGCGCTGGTGAGTAAGCAGAAACCAATTTTGAAACCAGATGAACCAAGTGCTGCTTTTCTTGTGGTGCAGCCAGTCATATGGGATGGGAATTAGGAGGTTTTGGTATAATACTCAGGGACATTAGAATACACTGAAAACTTTGTGGAGAAGAGACCCACACTGACACTACATTGAAGATGCATGAAGGAACTGGTGGCTCTATGTGATGAGAGATGATGAGATGGGGTGATGTGACTTGGTGGTTGCTATTGCAGCAGACAAGGGGAAGATTTGGCATTATTGCAGTGAAGTGTGTAAGAGATCTCTAAGTGTATCAGTCTAGCTTTGCAGATGAAGATCTCTTCTTTTTACTTGTCTTACTGCATTAATAAAGCTGCATTATACATACCTTGAACAAGGGGGGGAATTTTCACATATAAATAAAAAAAAATTAAAATGAAGGTATGAGTTAAGGTTTTCTTACCTTTTTTTTTTTTTTTAAAGCAAATATAATCTGCTGTGATGACTGTATCATCAGGAAACCTGAGATGAACAAGGATAAGCTGCTGTAGCAAAGTTTTATCATCCTGTCATCTAGGGCTGTGGAAACACTATTAAATACGTTTATATGATTATTCTGGTGGTTATCTACAGTGCAGACCTCCATTTTTATTAATTTAAAAGCAAAAAGGTATATTAACCATACTAGAAAATATTAAATATATAAGGTATCATCTAAAATAGAAATAAACAATGTGGAAACAGGTTTTAATAAATTTTATAATTGACTTGATATTAAAAATGTGCATTATTTTCTAGTATTGTTCTTTACGCTGTGTTGAATTCACAGATTTCATAGTACAGCTACTTTAAAAATGAAGCTCGGTGTTTAGTATAATGAAAATGTACATTTAAGTAAAATAAATTCCAGGTTTTTGTACTTATTTTAATATTTGAGCTGTTCCTTTATCCTACTTGCTTTCATGTTTTTAGAATTGAAATATGCTTCATTGGAATAAGTACTGAGGGTAGTGATATATTTTTCTAATTGTATTTTTCTCCTTATCTGCTCAGTATTTCATTATGTACAAAATAATAGGATATTTTTTTTCCTACATCTTTTACTAATCAAAAATGTTTTTAAAAACTTCTCAGCTTTATAGAAGTGTCATTTTTATCAGTAATGGTTATTGTACTTTTTACTACTTTTGCTGTGAAGATCAGTGTTGCAGAAAAGCATCTGTGGAGACGGTGAGTGGGAAGAAGGTTTAAGATGTGTACTTGCAGATTTGATGTTGGGGATTTCTTAAGTGACAGTTTGTCTTGTTTCTCAGCCATATTATGTCTGAGTATGTGAGGATGACAGATAAAGAGCGTGACCAGATAGATCAAGATGCTCAGATATTTATGAGGACATGTGCCGACGCCATCTATCAGCTGAGAACAGAAGGTAAACCGAGCAACTCTTAGAAGTTTTTTTTCTTAGTTATTGATAAAGGCTAATATAATCTGAATATTGGATAGTGAATCTGAAATGCTTTTGGAAAGAGGTTGGTGAAGTCTCATTGCTTTTTCATTTGCATCTGTGTAATCCCATTGACTGATTAGTACTGCACTTAATTTTCTTTAATGTTAGTGAAAGGAGAAGCCAAAGCATAGAATTTTATTTATTTGTTCAAATACACTAATTAGCAAGGGTAAAAAAGATAGTCTTAAATATTTACTATTTGAATAGTAATTTGGCACTGTGGCACTGAGGCCTGAATCAAAGCTCACTAGATTTGGTCGTTGTCTCTTTATAGCTTGTCTACCTGTAAGGTATTACAGCTTTTCCAAGTTTGAGATAATTAAATAACTTTAACAGAGTCCTGGTAAAGTAACAGTTTTTGACAACTTGAGTATGGGATCATACCATTACACTATGTTACAGAAGTTGTAGAGAGAACTTCTGTTTTGCCATTTTCAAGTTGACTTGCTGTACGTGTGTGTTTTTATCAATATACCAAAGATTTTCATCAGCTTTGAATGCCATCTAAACATAGTTTCAGCATTATTCAGAATCACTGAAAGTCAGTCATGCATGGGAACTACATAGTACCAAATTAAGAAATATTAATGTATGTGTCAAGCATCCTTTTAAATCACATAAATCTTAAAAATTTCTGCGTAAGTCTATACACTGGAGAATGTTAGAAGTTCAGTATTTTAAGCAAGTTAAATGTCTAGATCTGTTTTGCTATTACTAGCTTGGTGACATCTTCTTCTTTAGGAATTTAGTTGAGATAATATGACTCAGTGGCATATATAACAAATCAATAACATAAATATTGTAATACACTAGCTATTTTCAGCTTTTGGTTAGTTGATTTGCTGTTTTACAGAACCTGTATTTAAATACAGCTATGTTTAAAATGTAATATATAACATACGTAAAATGTTAATAGGCTTTGAATATAACTGGCATATCAACTGAAAATGCAAACTTTTGTGCAATTTAGTAAAAATTTATAAGATTGTGTTATATCTTTCTTTTGTATTTCAGCACACAAGGGTGTCCAGTCTGCTCAGGTAAAGGAGCACAGAACAGCTGTCTTGGACTTCATTGAAGATTACTTAAAAAGTACTTAGTATTTATTGAATGGTTAAAAGTGTATGATTGTATTTTCCAAGAGAGAAATCATGCTTTTCTAAACTGAAATTTTGTTTACTGCTATCTTGAACAGGAGTGTGTAAGCTGTATTCTGAACAAAGAGCCATCCGAGTTAAGCGAGTGATAGATAAGAAGAGACTGTGAGTAGCGTCTAAAAATAGTTTAACTGTGCCTTTTGTTTGTAGGATATTCAACAAAGATATTATTCAGGTTTAGATTCTAAGGAGATCGTTTTAATGGGAATCTGTAGTTGGACGAGCAATTTCTGCTGTCAGCAGGTGCAGTCCAGGGCTCTCTTACACTTCCGGCATGTGAAGTTCAGTCTGTAAATGGTAGAATGCCAGTATAGTGTACTTCTCATTTATGTAAATGAATGAAGTAACAAATCAGTAAAATGTGGGTTAATAAACCTATTGGACTTCTACAGATTCAGCAAAATATTATTGTGTGTCCCATTAAGTAATATTCTGCATAAAATAATGTGGAATGAAATCCATATCTTGAAGATGCTGTTTAGGTACAGATGTTCACTTCTCTTTCTCTTTCCCCCCTGCACACACCCACCACCGCTCCCTGGCCCTGTTCCTTTTTTTTGGGGTGGTTTTTGTTTTTTGGGTTTTTTTTGGCCACTGTCTTTCTGCTAAAGCAAATGATTATGTTGTGACTAAATGCTAATTGAGATGGCAGGTCTTCATGGCAAATAGAAACATGATTAAAATAAAAATCTTGAATGTAACTTCTTAACTGAAACAAAAGAGTTTCTGCTTCCTATCATGACATACGTTCAGGCTGCTAACATAGAGGTGAAAATGTCTAGGGGAAGTTAAAAGTGATGTACTTGCTGGCTTTTTGTCTGGGTTGGTTTTTTTGGTTTTGTTTTTTTTTTTTTTCAGTCAAGTATCAAAAACCATACTGTTTCTTTTTCTGCACAGTCCCAGGTGTAAGTATGATAGAAAGAATGAACAGGTTTGCAATATATTTAATACCTGAAAGGCTCTCTGTGTGTCTTCAGTCTGCATTATTTGAGTTCTAACCTTAAATTCTTTTATGTTCATTTTAATTTAAAAATAACATTTTAGAACATACACATCCATAAATAAATTATTGAATGTTTTTCCAAGACTTGATGCTGCTTTATCAGTTTGGTGTTTGGATAGATCTGCTGTTTACATTGAAACTAGAGAAATGTTTTCAAAAGTCCATAAGTACATTTTATTCAAAGTGATTCAGCATGATTAAGCATAATTAGATTCAGTCAAATATATCCTCCTGAGACATAAGTAGTAGTACAAGCCAAAACCAAGTAAACAGAACACCCCAAACCAGTTCTGAAATTTGGTAACAAGTGATGAGAGAAAAGTCATTGTATTTTTGTAACTCCCATAACTTTTCAGAAAAAACATACAGAAACAAACTGTGTGATATCTTTTGTGTGTAAAAATACACGACCATATCGGTATTCTTCACACCAAAAAACTTCGTAGAAAGATAGCATAATTTCTGCAGTCATAGAATGAGATAACAAATACCAGCTCTTCTGTTTGTTGTACTCTTACATTATTGTTTCCATGTGAAATTCCAGACTCAGGATTTCTCAGATGACTAAACAGATAATTCAATATGGTGTATGCTAAACATGGAACAATGAAAGAGCTATTTCAGAAGTTAGAATACCACTTAAAGAGCAATAAGGCACTAAAAAATGAACCAGGAGATGCAGTCCTTTTATGCAATATTGGAAAATACTTCTTTGCCTCTTTTTGTGGATGTAAGAACTAGAAGACAGATGTTGACCAGGTGGAGTCTGTGTGCCTTGCAGATGTGATGTAATAGCTAAATTGTCATTTAAATTAAAATTCAATTTAAAAAAATCACAGGGCATAAACCAGTCTTTATGATGACTTGAAGAAAAATTGTCTTTTTTCATATACCTTCAACTCACTGATTTGTAATTTCCCCAAGGATTTCAGCAGACACTTTATGTGATAATAAGAACATGTTCCATCACTTAAAAGAACGAGGCTTTTTTTAAGTAGTGCATCCCAGGCGTTTTGTTCATTTTTAATTGAAAACTTAGTACATTAGCATACTGTGTGAAGTAAGGGCAACAAACAATAAAGGAATAAATATCTTTAAAAGTAAATTAATCCTAGCACAGATCTTCTTTCATGTAATTTAGTCAACTTAAAATTGCCTATCAAACAATACTGAGAGTTTTGCAGTAGAAATTTACTTCTTCATGTTTCCTTTCATACTGATAAACATTCTAAACTCTTCAACAAATTGCCTGAGTGTTACAGTTTTCTTATGTAAGTTGCCTTTATGTATTAACTCATATTTTTTTGATTAAAAAGTTCTGCCAATTGCATAGGACTATTTCCCCAGAATGAAAAGGTGAGAAACAGAAACACAAGCAGCTTTTCCTCTAAAGATAATGGGTTGTGACTTTCAGCTTTTATGTTTATTGGTATTCAAAATGTATATTTCATTTCAATTTTAGACTTCTTTTTCCATTAGAATACCTTGTGAGTTATGTATGCAATTATTCAAATCAAGCTGATATTTTTATTTTCTGGGGAACTGGTGTTTTATTAGTATCAGAACTATTATTTGAACTGCATGGACATCCAGATAAGTCTTTTTTTCCTCATTATTAGGCAAATTTGGGATTTGAGAGGGAGGAGATGAAAAAGAGTTCTTTTTTGTAAAATTACCAAAAGCCCAGTATCTGCAGAGTTTTTGAGCTAAGAAAAGTTCCCTATTACTCTTTTTTCTTGTTTAAATAACATAGTCACTCAGTGATGACTAATGCATTATATTCTGTTTTTTTCTCAGAATTTTCTAATTATGGGTTAGAATTTGGACACAATACAAAGAAGGAAAGGAACACAAAATGCAACACCTTCTGTTAAGCAGCAGGGGAAGATTGCAGATCGTAATGAGATTAACTGTTGATTATATGTGAGAGGGGAGGAAGTCATGAAGGTGGCACAGGAGGTGATTCAGCCCATTGCTTTTTGGTTTTTTGTTCTTTAGCTGCTCTAACAGCATAATTGCTAGGCTTTTTACTGTCTACTACGTAGCAGCTACAGCTTTCATTGTAGACAACAATAAACCACAGAAGTTTACTGGAAATTATAAACTAATTTTAAACTTTTTTTTGGTGCCACAGTGAAACATACTCGACAAGTACTTAACATGTAATCACTGAATATGCTTCTCATTTTTTGCATTGCCTTTGTATTAAAATTACGTAGCAGGGACTTGGATATTATATATATCTGTCCACTGCATACATTTTTTTCTTCTCCTTGCTTCTAAATGGTCTATTGTGTCTTTTGGCAGACAAGGTAAGGATTGCTTTCATCCTGGTTAAACTAGTTTAAAGCTAGTTAAATAAAAATCCTTGTTTCAGGAAAAAGCTAATTCTGCTGTATTTTCTTACTTTTCCTTTATAAGAATGGATAATATAAAGTAAAATTGTAACTATTAACTTGAGAAAAAGCAGTAGTGGTGGCTATTGCTACTAAAAAGAATTTTCAGTGTGACCAAATGTTGTTTGTTTTGGTTTTTTTTTGAAAATATGTAATTTAATACACCAGATTTTTGAAAGGAAGTTTAATAAAATGCCTTATGTTTTTATGCTATAGCCTTCAAGATTCTCCTCAACTCTAAACATGTAACGTGTTTTGTTCAGGGATACTATTCATGCTTTCTTTGCTTTTGTAATAATATTTATATGAAAGTTAATAAATACATATTCTATCTTGACTGGGAAACCTGTAATGTGAAGTTTGCAAGAGTTAGTGTCAAATTTAATAATTTGATTATTCTCATTTCAGAGAAATTCAAATGTTAAATGATAGGCTCTTGTGTTTCTAGGTCCAGACTTGAACCGGAGCAGAGCAATGTGTCCAAATCGCCTCTTTCCCCCGAAAAATCTTCTCAGAATCCTTTAGATGATTCTGAAGAAAAACTATCTGCTGAGGAAAACAAAGGTAAGAATAAAACATAGTTATATTTCACTTCTTGTGACAAGGCCTGTCTGATCAATAGTACTTCTGTCATATCACAAGGGCCTGTTCCTGTGAGTTGCACCTTTTCTATTTTCATCTTCCCTGTGCTGATAAGGCTTTTGTGAATCACATTGTGAGACTGAGGAAGCAAAATCTTAAACTTTTGACATGCTTTTTCCAACCAGCTAAAACAGTTTTATGCCTTGCTGGATTTCTCATCCTCTCAAACTCTGTATGAACTTTATTTATTTATTATCAATATCCATCTACTTAGATACCTTCTTTTCATTGATGGTAAGGAATTGGGAAGTGGGTCAATGACTTTCTGGGAATATTTTCTTGTTTGTAAGCACAGAGTTGAAGGTAGAATATGCTCATAGAGGGGAGGTTACTGGCTGGCCAGATCCAGTAGTTTTGCGCATGCTCTTCTCCACAGCATTGAGTTTCCCCACTGGAAGGACTGTATCTCATCCTTCAGTGGGCAGGAGATAGCCAGAAGCCCAAAGCAGTATCTCTGACCCCAGCTGAAGCTGGTGCTGTTCTTGACAGGACTTGTGAACATTGCTTCTGATTTCTTGGTGGCCTGCTTCTGAGGCTGGGGGATGCAAGTCCCTTCTCTTAGCCTTTTCGATCTGTCCTGGGATGTGTATGCTGGCAGAACTTTGTTGCAGAGTGCCTTTCAGAGTACTGCCACTATGCAGATAATTTCAGGTTTCATACCTAGAAAGAAATCTTGGTTTTGTGATCCTGGAGTTGTTTTCCCTGGCTTGAGTTCTCTTGCTTGTGCTCTCTGGAGGAGTCAAAGTACCCTGTAATTTACAGCGTGAAATTGCTGTGGTTTTTTTGTCAGAAACAGAAATGGCATGAAATGTGACGTTACATTAGGATAATACTCCATCAAGATAGAAGAAATGCACTGCATGGCCGTATTATTCTGATAATCAGTTATTGTTTGTTTGGTGATTGTTATCAAGAAGGTTCCTCTGGTTGGTGACTTTAGAGCTGTACAAATGGTGGATTCATGCAAAGTGGGTACTCCATTTGTGGATGAAGACTCTTATACTGAATTACCTCACAGTGTGTGAATGGTTTCATTTTCTGATATGGCATTACTTATCTTCCTAATCGGTTTGTACTTCTGCAGCCCTATCAGTATGCTTTTACACACACACACTCCACCCCCTTGACACTGAATTTATTGCAAGAAGTAAAGGTTTTGATTATGTGTCATTTCTAGTGCTTACGACATTTTTATAGTATGTCTTAAGTGATGCAGCACACAGACACATAGATGAGTTTCACCTTAACACGTTATCAGTGTTTCGCAGCTGTGAGCTAGTGCCAGCAGAGGAGCAGCAGTGTAGTAGCATCTTTGTTGCCCTGTGCTCTTTCCTTGTTACTGAATGTCTCCACAGTCTCAGAAAGTGTGCACTCCCACCACATAGTGTCATTACAATTTTTAGCTCCAAAAATCTGTGCTACACCATGGAGAACACTGTTCTTTGGTTGCCTTGGACGCAGCAAACCACTTCAGTAAACAGAAATGAAGCTTTGTTTATTGCACATTAATTTTGATTACTTTAGTTTTGACTTATTAGTTTATGCTTTAAATTTTTATAAGAAAGTAGGGGTCCTGTCACATAAGATTCTGATGCAGTACTTATGAGGGATTGCTGACTAGTCTTTGAGATAACTATGAAACTTGTATATCAGAATAAATTGGTCTGAAACAGTTTGTAAGTGCACACATCCTATGATTTCTCACAGAAGAGTAAGATTGGTTGCTGCTGCTTATAGAAATCAGCCTTGTGACTTCACTGGTAGGTGGTTGTCAAAGCATGGAAATAGCATGAACGAGGTGACTAGGAAATGAAAAACTCAGCTTAAATATTATAGCTTTTGATTATTTTTTTTTTCCAAGTAACTCTTCATGTTTTTAAACTGGAGAAATTAGCATGTTCAGAAATAAACTATTTCCTCCTCAGGACGGTAGTGATTTAGAGAAAGGTGGTCACGTGCATTTATGAATTAGCCATCATCAGTGTGCCTGGGTCCCTTGTGTTAAATATCGCAGCTGTAACGATAGTTCTGAGAGCAGCTTGTGGTCCTGTCCTTAATTTGAATGTTATGATGAACAGCTGAATGTCCTACATGGTGTGCTGAAGCACAACTTGGGTTTTGTCTGTTTTTTTGGCAGAAATTGAGAGAAAATGTGATTACTTTTGTTTTGAGGCAAAGCACCTGTTTACATTAGAATTATACTGGACATGTCTCATGGTAGGAAAATAGTCTCTCTGGAGATTGCTTTTATATGCTGACAGTATTTATTTGCATATTACAAATTTGACATTTAGTTTATGGAAATAAATGTAAATAATGAGTAGTTTTTGAACGGGTCCACAAGCTTAGCAGCTGTCTCCTTTCAGAGGATTTGATCATTACTTTGTATCTCTGTCATGCGTTAACTGCTGCTCTTTCTGCAAAAGAAATGTGGTTTGTTTTTTGCTGGATGAATTGTAGAAAAGCATTAATGTCAGCTCTATGAAAACTGTGGAACAACTTTCCCAGGAGCCAGAAACATGCCACGGTGACAGGAGGAACCCTGGGGAGATACATGTTTCTTGCTTACCTCTTACCATAAATGTGTTTGCTTATTATCAATTACATTGGATACAGGTGCTGTGTTTTTAACAGTGATGACAGTGCCTGAAAGTAATTGGTTCCTCTGGGATAAAATAGGAATATATCTTTTGGGTTTTTTTGCTCCATAAACTAATTATCCTTTCTTTGAATCCAGTAAATAATTCATTATAGTTTTGATATAATAAAAATACACTGATTACCTAAACAAATAAGTTTTGTGTTTCTGTGAAATAAACTTGAAATACTCATGATACCCCATGGAAAACAGAGCTGAATAATTTCTAAATAATCTTTAAAGATATTCTTGGTTTTATTTCTTACTACTTATGAGAAGTAAGGAAAAAAAAATTCTCTTCTGTTTACTATATTCCCTATCCACATCCCTCATTTGAACATTATCATTGTACATCCTGGTTTGGTTGTTGGGAAGAAAAATATACATTTATAAAGGAGACATACACAACAATACTCTTTTTTATAATCTTTACTTTTCAACAATCTTCACAAAATACTATAGTGAAGGATAAAGGGGGAAATTTCTACTTATAATCCTTTACATATATTTATTTATAAATAGGAAAACTCATTTCAGAGGCTTCCTAAGACAAGTCAGTATCAGAATGATGATGCATCAGTGCTGCTTATGCAATTGAAAAAAAAGTAGGTTTAGAAGGTTATAACAAAACAAATGAAAATACCTGTAAATGCTTGAAAAACTTGACTGGGATGAATAGGAAGTCTGATATCTATAAAAAAGTAAAAACTAAATCTTTCTGTATTTTAATTTGCAACCTGCATCTGATAAGTCAAAGCAGGCTCAGCTTTGATCCATTGTGGGGTGGTGTAAATCTCTTTTGGGTTTTGTAGAAGTACTGCAGCCATAGGGGAAAAGAGGCCTTCTCAAGAGTGCAGTCTTACCATGAGGATTTTAAACACTGATGCTATAACAGCTTCAGAAACAGTAGGTTTCTGCAGCATATATTTTTTCTTTCTCATTCTAACTTCTCTGTCTATAATCAGAAGTATATAATTAAGCCTAAAAATAAATCTTCCAGAAGCGAATATCCCAGAAATAGCCATTCAAGATCTTTTATGCCCAACTCCTGCTAAGATTTATGCAGATGATTAGCTTTAATCAAAGGGGAAGTGCTGTTGAAATCAGTGAAGCAGCTATGATGTGTAAGGGTTAGTTTGGGAAATCGGATCTGATTCCTGTTACATGCAGGAAGACCCCTTGCACAGTGTGCTGCAGGGTTTGCATTGTAATATGCAGTTTGAACAGTGTGAGGGAATTGAGTTTGTCCTGTGAACTTTGCTCAAAATGTCTTTGAGATTCTGGTTTTAGTTTTTGAATGAGGAGCTGGTGGTTCTGTCAAGTCTCATTGGAAGATAATAGTTTGCATATAGACTGCCATTTTGAAAGTTGTGTGGGTTTTTTTCTGTTAAGACAAATGTTGCAGTATTTTGTGCCCTTACAAATGTTGGTGCGTTGTGAGTTGTTTCACATGCTTCACTGTCAACATATTAGTGATTTGTAGTTCACCAAATTAAACATATGTGTAGACTTTTCTCCCAGTTTAGAAGTTAAAGGTTATTGGTGTAATTTTGTGGTGTAAATACAGGGTGAATCTCAGTTAATGACAAATGAGATACAACAATTTCATCAGCATTCTGAAATGGATGAAAAATTATTTTTCACTTTACTCCTTAGTGTCCTGCATTGTCTCAAGTGTTTGGTGGTCTTTTTTATAGACAGAAGTCTACCTGATGCTCAAAGTAACCTTGGATTATGGGCGGACAGCAAAGGTGAAGATGAGCTGTCACCTGAAGAAATACAAATGGTAAGTATATCTTTTGTCTTACTGTCCATTTTACTATATATTCTGCTGTATTCATATGTGTTAAAGTACTTATTCACCCACATTCTTTTTCAACTTTCATTTTATACAGAATAATGCCATAACGATACGCCTTTTGTGCATGGCTTCCTGGTTCTTCTGGTAGCAGCTAATACTTAAAATTGCTACAAAATACTTACATGGAGCCCTAAAATTAGTAACAACTATTTTTCAATAATTGAAATTAAAATGATTTTTAAAATTACAATTATGAATTGCTTTTTTTAGTCAGGAAACAATGGAAGTCAAGGCAACATAAGAAAAAGTGTTACGAAACTTCTGAAAGAATAAAGTGTTGGCCATTTTTTTTACTTGGACTATTTCTAGAACACACCTTACATAGTTATACTATTTAGGTATAACTATGAAGTTATACTTCATTTTATTCCTTTTTATTTTTGGATGATCAAAATCAGATTAGTTTACTAGTAGGAATAGTTATAAGCTTCCTGTCATAACAGAATCTCATGAATTTTATCTTTTCCGGATTTCCCTGTTACCAGCATGTTTATGTACTGTTTGATCCAATTCTGCTTACAGTTGAACTGATACAATACAAAATTTCTGACATAAGCATGACTGATGACAACCTATCTGTTAGACTTTTCAATATTTCTGAAGTTTGTAATTTTGAACATGGTTCAGAATTCTTAGAAAACCTCTCTACATTAACACACATTGCCTTGTTTTACATAAAGAAAAACTGATAATTAGGTGGTAAATGTGCAGTTTTCAAAATGGTGAGCTTTACAAAGTCAAAGGCTGCTGCAGCATGAGTATGTGAAGTTTCCCTGGTGCTGATCAGAGGTGTCCCAAACTTAATATGCATCAGTCTTCTCATCAGAGATGAGTAAGTTGCACATAATTATGATATGGTTTATCAAAGAGAAAAGGTTCTTCAGAGTCTGCCTTTGCACTCAAGAACAATATGAGAGCATCCAGTCTGAAATCTAAAGGCTTACTTCTGTTTTCTATTTTCCTTTTAAAGATAATTCTTTGCATATATTCATTTTTCTGCGTTTAGACACAATATTATAGCCACCTTGCTGTAAGCTTGCAAAGGATCAGAAGGAAACAAGCATCAGAGATGATAGCTCTGGCAGGGCTTACTAATAACAGACTACTAAATGTTGGATTGCTTTTTGTAGGCCTGACACTGTAATTAAGCTTTAAACACGTTACATCCCTTGCAATGGTATTTTGGGAATAAATACATTTCTTTTTCATTAAATCCTTTTATACTTTTTAGAGTAAGGCCCTAGATACTTCATGACTTGGATGAGTTGCTGAAGTCTGTGAGTTTTGTTCTATTTCTGTTATCAGGACTGCAGAAAGATAAGCATCTTAAAGTGCTGATTTTTGCCTGCTGAGGATTTGAATTTTTCCCTGGAATAAATTCTCTTTATTGACTTGTGAGGGGGAGTGATTCCAGGCCTAAGTAAATAAATAAATAAATAAATAAATCTATGTTCATACTTTAATGCTTTGAAGGATTCCTAGACTCCTAAATCTCCAATCCTGAACTGCTTATCAGGTGTTTGCACAGATCTTCCTAGGGGAGAACCAACAGACATTTTTAAAAAATCCATTGTTGTTCTTTACCCATTCAGAGCTCTCCCATGCTGTGCTTTTTTTTATTTATTCTATATTTTTAAAATTTACTGGTTGTTTTACACTGATTTATGTCTATTATGCTTTCAGGAGTTGCACTTCCTGTGAAAAGGGATATAAAAATAACACTGATGCTCCAAATTAAATAAACTTTTAGCCCAGACAGACTCTAATATGTCCTTAGCTTACATAGTTCTGCCTGTAGTTTTCAAGAGAATGTGTAGTATATAACAGTGCCTTGATGCCAGTGACATGATTAAGCCTAGAAAAATTCTGCTGGAAACTTTAGATATCAGCTTTGAGTTTACCAGTCTGCTCCATGGGAAAAGAGACACAAATTTACTAGTCTGTTTAGAGAAGCAGAAGATCAAAATGCTACCAAAATAAAAATACATACTTTGAAGTCCTATATATATATTAATAAACTGAAATATTGTTACTGCTCTTGTGCCATAGTTTATTCTTAAATTTCCATGTGTGAGTTTGTATACAAATTTTTTTTAACATACTCTCAGTACTTGTGTTTTAGTACTGATACTGGGAAACTAGAATTGAAAACAGCATGCAAAGGGACATCACCACAGTCTCCTCTCTGGTTATAATTTATTCTAAGTTTTGCAGAAAGCTGGCTCTGAGCTGGATGTCTGAATCTCCTGCTGAATCTTGCTGCTGTTCTTATCTTACCCAGAGCTGTTCTCTCCTGTTGTACCTCAGTGCAGGCTGACAGTATGACCACCAGTAGTCAGGGCTGTCTCTATCTCAGCTTCTCATGCTGACTACAAGTCTATGCTTCTGGCACTGCTGTGAAGTAATACAGGCTTGCTTTCCACCTCTCCTAAAAATTAACAACCATCAATTACTTCCACATTATACCTTAGAAGGAGTATATGTTTATGTTTATTGTGATTTAAAAGAAAAGTGAGTCAGCATTCATAACAGTATTAATACAGACAATTTTTTCTTTCTCCATCAGTTGTCAAGTAGAAAGCAAGCTGATTGTTTCTATTATAGATAATGCCCCCCAGTGAGGGTCATTTCTTGTCAGGTTAATTTATTGCTGTTGGATTGGATTGCATATTATTGGAGTTGTCAAACTGTAAATAGAGTTGTCTGTGTAATATGTATATGTGCACAGCAGGGCATCACATGTAAATGTTGTCACTAATATATTGATACTCAGAGCAGAGCTGAGCAAAGTGAGGCATTGATCTATTCTGTGGACCTAATGTGATTGATTATTTTTTTTTTTTTCCTTTTGTGTGGGTGGGGGG